AGGAACAAGGAAGCTATTAGGAACAAGTGCATCGCTTCTAGTAACAAGTGCCTTACTAGTAGTAACAAGGACGCTACTAGGGCTCCTGGCATCGCTACTAGGAACAAGGAAGCTATTAGGAACAAGTGCATCGCTTCTAGTAACAACTGCCTTACTAGTAGTAACAAGGACGCTACTAGGGGCTCCTGGCATCGCTACTAGGAACAAGGAAGCTATTAGGAACAAGTGCATCGCTTCTAGTAACAAGTGCCTTACTAGTAGTAACAAGGACGCTACTAGGGGCTCCTGGCATCGCTACTACGCTACGAACGGAACAAAGGGCATCACTACTAGGAGCAAGAAGCTACTAGTAGCGTAACAAGGAAGCTACCAGAAAATAAATGCTCCAAAACGACGACGCTCCGGATTCCGGGTCCCGTTCCGGCACCATTCGGAACCCGACCTGTGGCTGCGATCTCTTGTGGTGCGCGTGCCGTGAGGAGAGGAGCGACCTGGTGGCGACCGAGGTGACCAGTCTTTCACCGAGTCCGGGATGGGAATTTGGTTGATCATGCACCAACTCCAATCGATGCCCTATGATGCACAACTCCAATGGTAGGCACGATCCTTTCAGGGATCAGGATGAGTTGGAACATCCCGATTCCGTTGGCTGATGTGAAGGAAATATACCAAGCAGGATTGCCGACCACACTACCTGCGAAGGAAGCACGCGGCCATCCCGAATCCGATCAATGAGCATCGTTCATACACATTTCCAGGAACCACTTTTGTGGTAATAAGTAATAAGTAATAATATGTATTTCCATTATTTCCATGTCTTTCTGTGTCATTCTACGACCCAGCCCTACTTCGACTTAAACAAACACATAGAAATAGCATCAAACTACTGGATCCCCCTCAGACGAAGCTTCCTCATCCTTCACAGCTGCCCCCTGTTCACCATCGCCCCCCGGGAGCTGCTCAGTGCCCGGACGCGGAGCGGTGACGATGATGCTTCCGCAGGCCGTCAGTGGAGGCCAGCAGCAAAGAGAGGAGGACAGCACGGAGGAGGGGCCTCAGTCTGTCAGGGAAGGAGCACGCCGCAGAAGGCCCAGCAGTGTGCAGGGGG